CAATGGATCCTGTATTCTCTTTTGTAGAAATAAAGATTGTTTTTGTCATAAAAAAAGATTCCTCTTCACTTAACCACTATAAAAAAAGATTCATCTTTATTGAATTGAAAATAAAGTCGGTCAAACCTCGTAAAATGAACCGGGAAGAACATTATAGGACGGAGGGAGTAATAAAATTAGGAAAAGTTTTTGTTTTGCCCCACGCATGGCCACAACTTAAAATAAACATTTTCATAATCAAGCATTAAAGTTATTAACCAATAGTAAAGAATTTATATAAGATATAAAAGAGACTACTGAGTTAGGATCTTGAAGTGAGTTAAAAAATGTTGTTAGTTACATTATTAATGACAAATACCATGAGTTGTTTGAGAAAAATCATGGGAGCTCTTATTTGATGAAATTTTATTTGAGTGATGAAGAATAATGCATATATAATCAAGATATTTCTATAAACAGGTAATCTTTTATAGAAATATGGTTGAAATGATTGAAATACACATACATACATACAAACTCTAGAATTGAAATATGGTTGAAATGATTCATTCGCATTTTAATCACTTTTGAAGAACTTATTATTTTCATAGAAGTTCTTAAAAAATTGTGTTTGATTGAGATTTTAAAATTATTTAATTCAAATAGACGATCCTTATATGAGTTAGGTATGTCATTCCAAGATGACAATACACTTAATAGATTTCAAAATAATTTCTTAGTAGAGGAGTTGAATTATGACAAAAAGAGTTGTCATACGGTCTTAAACAATATATATATCTACAATGAATGAAAATAAGAGGAAGATATATGACAGTAAACATTTTATGTTTTGTTATGGCTATGAATAAAAGCTAATGTCAAATATTATCATGTGTTAGATTATCTTTAACCATGTTGAAGTTCACTCATAGTTAACTTTATATCAATGTTTTACGAAGGCTTTCAAAAAAATATGAATTTTAAAGATTTTGAGGTATTTGCTTTTGAATTTATATATAAGCATTTTCATAACCAATTAATAAATGCTAAATTATTTGTTTTACTTTGATTTTAATGTTTACAGTGTTAAAGAACGCATTACATATATGTTCATACTCATTTAAAAACATTACATTATTGATAATTAAAAATCAATAAACATTTCGTTCAACCCCGTGCGTGGCTCATGTTAAGATACTAGTGTGTGCGTGTATGTGTGTGTGGTAAAATGACATGTTTCAGTCAAATGATGCTGGAGCTCCCCACAGATCACTGCAAAGTTCACTACTGATCACTGCAAAACTTACCACTGTCCACTGACTGAAACAAAACTCACCACTACTGAAACATTTAGCTCACCATGATTTTCCAACACTTTACTTTTTTTAAAATTTGATGGTTAAATGCTCACAAAGTCCAGCAACAAAGCTCACGGACTCTCATTGCAAAGCTCACCGAATATGTGCACAAAGCTAACCACACTTTAAAGTTTAAAATGACATCGGAAAAAAACAAAGGGCGGTGGTGCTGGCTTCCAACCGCTGCAGACTACCGCCATGGAGTGGTGGTTGACTAGTGGTGCAATTTTATTAGTTTTTTTTTAAAAAAAAGTGATGAGCTTTGCATTGTTTCTTGGTGAGCTTTGCATTGACAGTTGGTGAGCTTTACACTTTGACCGTCCATGACCAATGGCCACCACCGATGACCCCCACTGTCGCCGTGGACCGGTGGTTGAGCGGTGGTTGACTGGTGGTTGAATAGTAGTGCTATTTTTTTAACTTTTTTTATTTAAAAAAGTGGTGAGATTTTCATTGTCCCTTGGTGAGCTTTCCCTTGGCAGTAGGTGAGCTTTGCATTGGCAGTTGGTGAGCTTTCCTTTGGCAGTGTTGTGTGTTGTATTATCTGATTGAAGCATGTCATCTTACCATAAGGTGTCATCTCACTGGAGTCAATCATATATATATACATATGTGTATGTATATATATATATATATAGTTGATATTAAATTTATATCAGAATACAATGTACTCACTCCATTCTTATTAAACTATTCAGTTTGCTTTTCAAACATAAAGTTTAACCAACAATATCTCTTAAAATATATTAGCAAAAAATATCTAAAATAATAAATTTAACATATTTTTTATACAAATTATTTGGTATGATTTTTATATTTTTATTTATTATATATTTTTATATATAGTTAGTCAAATATTTGACATGTAAAATGAAACAGACATTTAAATAGGAATTGAGAGGGTATTTTTCCCGTTTATAAAGATTAAAGTTTACCAATTTTGACTAAGAAAAGTCAAATGAAAAATTAAATTTGACTAAAGTAATTAATACTTATTTATTGAGAGAAATATAATTTGTAGAGCTTAATATATTGTTTCCATTTTTATTTATGTGTATACAAACACCCCAGATACACTAGAGTCGTAAAATAAAATTGAAAATAATTAATTACACTTTATAAAAAAGACTTAATTCTATAAATGAATTATTAAAAATATAATTTACGTATTTAAAAAATATTTCAGATGTTCCACGAAACAAGAAGTGATATTATGGAATACTATATGGTTTTATTTTTTTTGATAAGAAAATTGTAATTAACTGAAGTCACTCCCTAAGATTTTTAAGAAACTTATTAAGGTTTGAGGCCAAGCTAAAGGAGAACATTGACTCAATGTGTATCATTAGATTAAAAATATGAATAGATCTTACATAGCAATCGAATAAATAACATTAAAATAATTTCTTATATAAGGGTGGTTGGTAAGGGTGCGGTAAATCCCATTTGTTACCAAAATTTGCTTATTTGGTAATTTAGGGGCTGTTTGACAACTTCTGAATAGATAAGTGCTGAACCAGTAAGAGGTCTGAACCATTAAGTGCTGAACCAGTAAGAGGTCTGAACCATTAATAGCTAGTATATTGCTTAACTATTCAGAGGCAAATGTCTGATCAATTCAGATAAGAGTTCTTAACCATTCAGACTCTGTATAATACTTAACCATTCAGAGGCAAATCTCTTAACCATTCAGATATCTGAACCATTAAGAGGCTGAAACAAACAGTCTGAATCATTAAGTGCTGAACCATTCAGACATCTGAACCATTAAGAGGCTGAAACAAACAGCCCCTTAGTGAAGAAAGTAACACCGCACCCTCTAAATTGATACCAAAAAAATAGGTAAGGAAGTCTAAGACTTAATTGAACAATACTTTTTTTACCTTTTAATTTAAAAAATATTAAAAACCTAATTTAAAACAACTTTTTTTACCTCTAGAGTTTAAAAAATTAAAACTTAATATAACACCCCTCTATCCAAATTTTAAAATTACTATCGGAGTTAATATTCTTTTCTAGTATTGTTATTTTTATGTTTTTTATTTTGGATTGGTATTTCCTTTTATTTAGCATTGTAGTTTCGTTTAAATCAATGATTATTATCGTGTGAACTAAAAATTGACACTTTATATTTTAAATATATTTTAGAATTAATTATTAATTAAATTAATTACTAGTAACATTAGATTGTTAAAATTGATTTTGAAATTAATATTTGATGGATGTATTCCCACCCAGTACCTAGTCGAGAACAAGTGCTACAGTAACCAGGCGGGTGGGTCTAGGAAGAGCTCATTAGAAAGAAATCAGGATGAGCATAGATCTGACCAGGTAGGTACGTCGAACCACCCGGGGAACAAGTCTTGATGGAGAAATTCATTAACCAACCAGGCGTCTTTTCTAAGGAACCACCCGGGTGCATCATTTGAACATGTACGATCCATCAGCTTGACATACTTAGAAGGTAGCGTTCGGAAGAAATTTGATCGGACCAGATCCCCTACACCAACGATATATCTATACATCTAGGCCAAACGCTACAAGCCAAGTGGACAATTACAAATCACAACTGGCAGAGTACATAAACGAGGGCTACAAGGGAAAGCATAGTCAGATCAAGCATCAGTCGCATAGCTGGCACATGGCCAGACAACCAGCTTTGCTATAAATACCCTTGTAACCCGAGTAGAAGGGATTCGAATTTTATCTATCTAGAGCATATTGTATAATTTCTTCCTTGTACTCTCCATATACTAAATAATAATTGGACTACAAATGTTCCCACCTACAGTCTTCCCAGTCAAACTTAATTTATTGAGTCTTTTCAGTATCTAAACTCAATAATCTATGCTAGACCCAGTGTAGAATAATTTACTTAGGTGGTAATTTGCACCATTAGTTTTTATTCTTAATTTAGGTTATTTATTTAAAAATGATCGTAGTAAGTTTACGAATTAGTCTATGTACAGTTGTACACCGCCACTAGTATAAAAAGTACTCTCTCCGTCCTATAATGTTCTTCCCGGTTCATTTTACGAGGTTTGACCGAATTTATTTTAAATTCAATTTATTTGATTGTAGGTGTAAAATTAAAAAAAATAAAATTTATATATTTAAAAACTACATCAAAAGTTCTACAAAACAAGTGGTGACAAGACTATATTATTTTATCAAATACCTAATGAAAATAGGTAAAGAAAGTGATTAAAGTATGACCAGATAAAAAGTGAGTGGGAAGAACATTTTAGGACGGAGGGAGTACGAAATTAGTACTCTCCCGTCCCTAAAATATTTTTATACTTGTATTTCCGAGGTAAAATATCAAGTTTTTTCAATTCATTTTATTTATATATTGGTATAGAAATAAAAAATAAAATTTACATATACAAAAACTACATGAAAAGTTATTCGAAATAAAATGTGTCAAGAATATTTTATTTTATCAAATAACCAATGAAAATGTTGAATGATGAGACTAAGAGGGTGTTTGGGAATGATTAGTTTATAGATAAAGTAATTTCTATAAAAGCTAAAAGCAAAAGCACCCATACCTATTTCTTCAAAAAGGTGTTCCATGTACAAAATAATGTTGGTGAAAAGCAGAAACTAACATGCTAAACAGAATAAAATCACTTTACTGAAAGTAGAAACTAAAGGGTTAAAACTAGAGAATCCGGTGCTATCTGCTTAGCTTTTAAAAGTTCTATGGGTCTTCAAAAACAGAGTAATGCTCTCACCTGGAGAAGCTCCACCCCACGCTGTCAAATCCACACGTTGAAGCCTCTCAATCCTTCACCGTTTCATGCTTTGAAATCACATCTGAGTGCTTCCGTGTGTATTTGCCCCCATAGCAGTATATTTCAGAGCTTCAAGCCAAGAATGTCAGCTTGTCATGGAGCTGCCTCTGCGAGGAGCTCAAGTGAGATGCCCGAGGAGGAAACAGTCAGAATCTCTCTAGATCTTGTGGCTGCTGCTAGGAGGAATCTAGAGTTCCTCAATTTCATAGCAGATTCTCTCTGCCTCCATCAAACTCCTGCCCTCCTTGAATCCATTAGAAGGTTTTGAAAAGATTCATGTTTCTTAACGCAATTTTGTCCAAAAATAGAGTTCTATTTGAACAAAACAAGAAAATTTTGATTGTATTTGATGTTAAATTAGTTGAAACATTTTTTTTTTCAATTATAGCTATATATTGAGATGATTTTTTATTTTCATTTTGATAGCGTATGACAACGAAATTGAACTATTTTTATGGGTAGGAGAGGGTAATTTTTTGTTTGTTTGTTTACATATGGTTTGTTCTGAACTATGTGCAGATATGATCAGCTATGGATGCCCTTGATATGTGATGTCACGAACGGGTCGGAGCCTCCCATGATTCTTCCTCCACCTGATATAGAATGGGTTTGGTTTTGTCACTCCTTAAACCATGTAAGTTGGGGAAAAATACTAAAATCTTTAATCTGGATTTGATTTGTTTGAAAGACTTGGAAAGTAAAAGAAAGTTCTGCAGTGATTATGTACATGGGCTGAAATGAGAACTAAAATAAGGAAAATGATGAACTCACTATCCCAGATGAAGCTAGTTAGAGGTGTAAAGTATAATAGAATTTAGGTAGCGATTAAAAAGTTTCGAGCTTTCCTACTTTCCATTTTGATTTTTTCTCATGGAAATCTAATTATTTATCCCTAATTTATGTTACCATATGTTCTTTCACGGAGTTTAAGTACCATATGATTGAAATTAATGTGGAGGTGAAAAAAATGATATGAACGGCATAAATTCTTAGGAAATGGGAATTTAAATTAGGGATTTGGATTAGTATAGATGGAAAATGGTTCAATACTCAATGTAAAAGAGCTAAAAGATTTGTACGGAGTACGTATCTTTGTATTATATACCAAGTCAATGTGTTATGTTTGATATGCATTTGTATAAGATTTGATTTCAATTAGTTGGATAGTAGCGTTTGATAGTTCCATATTGTTTTGATACCGAAAGCTTAATTTTAGGTCAGCTATAGGCAGTATTGCAAGTCAAGATTCTCAAAAATCATTGGCAAGGCGGCCATATTTGATGAAGAGAATGAAGAATATGCAGTGAATAGATGCAGAGAAATCTGGGTTTGTAGGTACCCAAACGAGCCTTTTGAGAATGAATGTGAGTCGAGCACGGGGAATCCAATGTCCGCAGTTCAGGAAGATCTTTTGGAGGCAGTATCCAAGCAGAGGTTTTGGTATGCTAAATTTAGGGAGCCTTATTACTCAGAGATTGTTCATCTGATAGCAGCTGGGCATCGGTATAAAGGGTTTTTGTATATGGTGCATAGATTTGCAGATAACTTCTCCAGATTAGTGCCAACTTCAGACATTCTCTTAATGTGGTTGATCCATAAGGTATTTCATTTCTTTATTGTTCATGTGTATTATTGGTTTGCTGATATCTGCATTCCTTATTCATTAAAAATTGAAAGAAGAATAGCTGTTTCTTCATCACATGCCATGTTCCAAGAATGAAATATTTAAATGGGGGGTGGGGGTCCATTATTGAGAATTGAGTATTCAATAATATCATATACGTAGTGTGTGTGTATATATATATATATATGCTTTGTTTAGAGCAATAAAGAATATATGCTAGGTGTTTCCCAAATTGCCTTATCTTGGAAACGGATAATGTAATTATATTATGCCATATCAGTTGTGTTGGAATTGGTTTGTTTATCTTTCATTGAGTGGGGTCTCAACAAATAAATACTAAAGAATAACTTAATTGATACCCCATTAGTAAAGCACTTGTTAGGCTGTTAATTAACACATCCTCTACCTGTTTTTCTTTTTCAAATGAATAGTTGTATTCTTATATATAACAGTGGGATATGTTAAATTACCAACGATTTGGTAAAATTTGCCTTTTTAAGTTGACCCAAATTATTCGCAAAATACTCACGTACTTTTAGAAAAAACAGTTTTTTGTTGTTTATTTTTTTGGTTTTACGTCTATTTTTCCTAAATATAATACTCCGTATATTCAGAATGGTTGAATAAATTTTAATATGAATATTTTAATATGAATTTTTAAATATAAAAACAACTATGTGGATTAGCATGTGTGAGTTTTATTGAAAAAGAGATTAAATAATAAATAAAGGCACTACAAGAGTACAAGTATTTAAATGTGGTTAAAAGAAGACATACGGAGTAAAAGTGAATTAATCGTGTCTAAACTCAAAATGCACTGTTTACTGATCAAGCTAATGAGTTATCATATAATGTGTCTAAAAATGTTTAAAACCTGATGTAAAATTTATTGATTTATATGTCATATAATAAGAATGGTTTTACAGATACTAGCCATATTATACCGGAGTGTATCTGTATTTAAAAAGCTACATATGCTTTACTGGATTGTTAGCCGTTTCGAATCCCAATTCGCCGAATTATACCAAAACAAATATTTTCCCCTCTTGGTTGTTTTTTCAAGTTGGACTAACATATGTTTGGCCATTCTTATTATTTAAAAGATATACTCCCTCCATCCCATAAAGAGTACAATTTTATTAAGGTATAACCTTTTAATTTTGAGTAAGGTTCAATCATTATAACAAACCTGAAAAACAGCTTCTTTTTCATTAAAACTTTGAGATGTAAATTTTTTCTAAGACTTGATGGGTTTTTCACTGGCCCCTACAACAATGGATGGTACATTGACAAAGTTTTGATTTCATTTAGCAGAGCTATCCAACAGTGTATGCATATGATACCAGGGAGTTGGTAGACGAGCTTAGTAAAGTAGTGGGCACATGGGAAGCCGTGAATGAAGTAGAGATTGAAGAAACCAAGAAGCTTTGGGAGAGAATATTTGAACAACCATATGAGAGAGCTGGTGGTGAGATAGCCATTGGCAACAATGTTAATAAGGTCAACCCACTTCTGCAATGGGAAGTTCTTGTCAGTGATGTCAACGCCAAATATAAGTCCTTGCTACCCAGATTCTTACTAGAGGTCAGTTTGATCTTACCTTTATGTTATAAATTTATGGTTTAATATTTGATTAGTTGTTATTATTATTAACTAGTTATAGTTTTCTATTAGCTTTACTATTTTCTTTTAGTTAATATTCTTGATAGCAATATCGTATTAGGTATTTAGGTTAGAAACCTATTAACTAGAGGGCTTATAGAGTGGGGTTATATTCATTATTAAAATCATCATTGAAGCAATTAAACAACAAACAACAACATTACCCCATTGCCTCAAAGGCTCCCCTGCCCATTGCGGGGTAAGGGGGGTCAAATGAACGCAACCTGACCCCTATGTTTAAAACATAGAGTGGCTGTTTCCATATGACCCACGACGAGCGTTAAGAGGGCCATTTTGCTTTATTTCATCACACCCCAAAGCCAAAAAGTAGTGAATCTTTGGCTTCATCAGAGATGATGGAAAGACATTGAAGCAATTAAACAACTCTTCCTAATTAGTCACGAGATATAGGATCTGAAGTTCTTCCTGTTCTAGCCACGGGCAATATAGGGGTTCTTTTTCTATCTCAGGGATCTCTTCGGTTCCCTAATGCTTTAGCACACTATCCTCTAGAGGATTGAAAACTGACAATTTTGCCTTATGTGGCAGAGTATATTTCAGTGAAAAAAATGCATTTTTGGTAATGTTGTAATGTTTTTGGGAAATTTACGCCTATTTCTTTTCAAAAACCAACCGATGCAATTTGCGCTTTTATTCTTTTCTAACTTGCATTAGTATTAGTAAGTTACCCAATGAAGTATCATGGACTGAAATCACTGAATGATGGGATAATCTTGTTTCGTTGCTGCAGCTCTGTATAATGGTGAAACTGAGTACTAAAACACCGCAATGCAGCATGTTGAAAGAGTTTCTACGAGTTGGATGTGTGAGATCCCACAAAGAGCTGAAATTGGATACACCCTTATCCAACTTCAGCTCCCAAACATGGCAGAAAGCCTTTCATCTCTACTGTGAGTTTGGAACCAAAGGGACGAGGCTTGAGCTTCGTAAACAATCCTTCATTAAGAGGGGGAGTAGCCTGACAGAAGAGGCTGCAACATTTCTTTGGAATGATTTGTTGCGTTCGCGCACTCTTTCTCTGGTAAAAGAGTTTGACAAGAAAGTAAGGGTAGTTGCTTCAATCACTCCACCTGTTCAGGCACCATACTTGTTGAAGTGTGTCCCGGATCGAGTAACAGATGATTCAGGGGCAATGATATCAGATGTTATTTTAAGGATGAACCATTATCGTCCCCAAGAAGGCAGATGGTTGTCCCGCACTGTTTTAGATCATGCGGGCAGGGAGTGTTTCGTCATTCGAATAAGGTACTGAGAATTATGAGATTTCAACCCATAACCAATTGGCATTGGGAAGAGTAACTCATATTCTTATACTCCCTCCATCCCAAAATCTCTTTCCCCTTTTGACTTTTATGGAATTTAAGGGTAGGATATTTTTATTTGACTTTCCCAAATTACCCTTGATGTGATGAGTAGATTAGTAGTAAATAGACACGATGTGATAGGTAGGGTAATTATCAGTTTGGGTAAAAGTGACTTTTTAATAGAAAGAAGACTTTTTGGGACAGAAAAGATGAAAAGGGAAAATCTTTTAAGGACGAGGGAGTATATTAGCCTTTTTTAGCCCGGATGTTCGGTATGGGATTTATTTACATTTCATTTTTTAGCTTGGGCGTTAGTTTTTTCAAACATCAATGTAGGATCGGGGGAGGGTTCTGGAGGAGAGGAGCTGAAAGGCCTTCAGCTGTGAAATGGGAGGAGAGGATTATAGAAGTACGCGAAGGCTGCTGGTCATATGTCGCGGATTCCATTGGCAAAGCTCCTGGTATGCAAGTGATAAATGAATCAATCCTATAGTTTTTTTCTCTCTATCATCCCTAATTCATTGCGCCAGATATCTGCATTTCACAGTGAAAATTTTGGGGATGGCGACCCCAAAAGAGGCGCCTGAAGGATGTCATGCATTATGGAACTTCTCCACAGGGGATGAGCTGTCAGTACAACACGGATTGCCAAATAACAATTCGGGATTCACTTTTTGTCTCACAAACCAGCAGTCTCAATATTCAAAGGTATATCATATGTGTCTATGTGCCAAAGTGAACATCCCACATTTCTTTATATGTACTCCATTACTTTTGTTACCTTTTTTGTGCGTCCCACTTTTTTTTTGACTTATACTCCTTCCGTCCCATAAAAAGTTCCACATTTCCTTTTTCGTTCGTCTCAAAAAAGGTTTCACTTTTCACTTTTGGAAAAGAATTTGCGGCCCTTATAATTTATCTCCTCTGCATCACTACTTTCCCCAAAATGGCTGCAGATAAAGTTGGTTGAAGGGCGGAAGATGGGGTATGAGACTTTCACAGGAAGGGCAAATGACCTAGTTTGTGATGAAGAAGAAGATGAAAGTGGGTTTTTGACAGTAGTTAGGTTCTCCGAGGATGACCCAACAGGGAAGGCCACCGCGCTTCTGCACTGGAGGCTACTGACACTAGAGTTTTCACCCGAAGAAGATGCCGTGTTCCTACTTCTTTTGTGCATGTCTATAGCCAAAAGTGTATCAAAGATAAAAAAGGAAGACGCTGCGAGGCTTTTGGTGAGAAGAAGAATAAAAGAAGCCAAGTTTGGGAACAAAGACTGGGGCTCGGTCGTCATCCACCCTTCGTATTTGCTCTCATCTCATGCTGGTATGCCTCATGTTTGGCCTTGGCAGTGGCATGCCAAGGCCGTGACGGGTCCACAAGAAATAGATTACGTTTCAGGGCTTTCTGGTCAGGCGACATTGGCACATTCTCAAGTTGAAGGAAGCGATGACTTGTACAAGCATGGGATAATGAATTGAATTGACATATAACATACGGCGTTTGAGAGGTAAGATGACAAAGTTTTACGATTTCCGTTGACACATTGCAAAGGGAAGTGTAATGAAACTTCTCAACTTGAGGGGAAGATATTAACCAGTAACCATATATCGGTCGAGATCGAATTATGTAGGTAAATTGTACGAAGTTGTATTTTTACCTATGCATTTATGTGTAGGTAAAATGTTGTGATATAATCTCATAGTTGAAAAATTCTTGTATAAAAACGAAAAAGGAAATTATGATGTATATTTGTGCAAAGTGGTATGATTTGTAAACTTATTTTGAGTAAGAAAAAAATGAAATTGCAAGATTGTAAATTGGACTGTCTAATGAATGATTGGACCTTATCACACTTTTATGGGTTGACACATGAATTTTTTTCTATTTTGTAAAAGGCCTAATTCTTTTATGATATTCATATACTAAGATGAGTGTCTATTGTTTGAGACATTCTTTAGGATTGAAAAAAAGCTGAGTGTTGAAAGAAATTGGAAAGAACTGAAAGGCACTGGGAGAAACTGGAAGGAACATGAAGAACTGGAAGGAACTGAAAAAAATTAGAAGAAACTGGAAAAATTTTACTCCCTCTATCCCAATTTAAATTGTATGTTTGCCTTTTTTCTCCGTCCCAAAATAAGTTGTCTGTTAGTTGTTATCGTAAATTTTTAAAAATAAAATACATAAACTACTCTTAAAATAAATCACCCTTCTTCACATTATCTTCTAATTCATAGTCACCCCTTCTAAAAAGTAATGACAATTTTGAAAAATCAATTTTATTTTTTCTTTTCCTTAAATATGCCCAAAAACCAAAACATGCTATTTAAAACGGGACGAAGGGAGTATGAAATTAGAAGAAACTGGAAAAATTAAAAGAAATTGAAAAAATTAGAAAATCTAAAAAAAGTTTTAATTTTTGTGTGTATTTTTATATTATTCTCATTCTAATTCTTGTTATAAATTATTATTATTATTGTTATTATTATTGTTGTTGTTGTTGTCATCACTTTATCTTAATGGATGCCTTTAAGATAAATAATAATATTATTTTTCAAACTCAAAAAAATTACATTTGCATCATAGGATGTCTTAAATGAAAGAGGAGCACCAAATTAAAATTATTTTTGGAACATGCACTTTGCACAATTTTATTCGTTTTCATCGAAAAGGAATATCAATTTTACCGTGGCAACAAACAACGGAAGATATGCCCAAGGTGATGTTGTTTGATGAACAAACTAAAGGTTCAATGAAGCAACTAATTCTTGTTATAAATTATTATTATTATTGTTATTATTATTATTGTTGTTGTTGTTGTTGTCATCACTTTATCTTAATGAATGCCTTTAAGATAAATAATATTGTTATTTTTCAAACACAAAAAATTTACATTTGCACCATAGGATGTCTTAAATGAAATAGGAGCGCCATATCATTCTCATTCTAATTCTTGTTATAAATTATTATTATTATTGTTGTTGTTATATTAATGTTGTTGTTGTTGTTGTCATCACTTTATCTTAATGAATGATTTTAAAATAAATAATATTGTTATTTTTCAAACACAAAAATATTACATTTGCACCATAGGATGTCTTAAATGAAATAGGAGCACCAAATTAAAATTATATTTGGAACATGCACTTTGCACAATTTTATTTGTTTTCATCGAAAAGGAATATCAATTTTACCGTGGCAACAAACAACGGAAGATATGCCCAATGTGATGTTGTTTGATGAACAAGCTAAAGATTCAATGAAGCTGCAGTTTAGAGATGAAATAACAGTTAATATTGTACAATGCAGTTAAGCTTAATTGAAGACATTAAATACAGAGTATACTTTTGGCAATACTAAAAAACATTTTATGTAACTATTTTACATCCATAATTTTTTAATTATTAGAAACTAGAAGAAACTGGCAGAATCTGAAAGGAACTAGAAGTTAATAGTTCAAACTTTAAAAAACAGACGTCTAAATAAAATTATGAGATTAATATTCAGATAGAAAGCGAGAAGTAATATAAACTACCCAATGTTTTTTTAAAACTAAAAAAGATATTTTTGTACAAACAAGAATATTAGAAAGATTGTTTTGATGGGGGAATGTGCAAACAAAAAAGGTGGACAAATTTGCAACTTTATATACTCTCTCTGATTTAGAAAAATCTTCATATTTTGACTTTTTGTTGTCACATTTTGACATATTAAAATTATATTTAAGATGAAATTAATTATATTGAATTTAAATTATAATTGAATATAATTTTTTCATAATTTGTGATCAAAGATGGTCAAATTTGACTAAAAAAATAAATCAAAAATATTTTTCTATAAATGGGGATTCTAATTGGAGGTCACCATACTTGTTGGGGGCACTTTATAATGAGTTGTTTCCATTTAAATTGACAACAAAATTACCTCTTCCTTTGTTTGGACACATACGGAGCAGATCGAACCGCTAGAAAACAAACAAGGCAGGTTTATACCATGTCACACACTACAAGGAAGCATCACTCAAACCTTTCACCAAAAGAAACACAAAAATGTCACGTTTAATTTCTAGCCAATACCTTTTCCTTGTAACATTTTTTTATTCTACGGACTTTATATTATGTTGTGGTACTATAATTTAAATCACCGCATATGCCCATTCCCAAAACCCAAAAAATTCATCATCAATGGCATTTCCACATTCTCCTCTACTACTTCTTGCCCTCATTCTTTGCCCTTCTCTCCCATCATCAATTGTATCATCATCCAATGATGATGAGTTGAAGGCTATCCCCATGCATCAGTCCCAGATGCTGGAGGACATGATCGCCCGGGCTTGCGACAGCGTCGAAAACCCGGGGTCGTGCCTCGAGAGCATACGCTCGAGGGTCGAAAACGACACCCGGCGCGACGCGACTACCATCCTGAGAGCGGCCATGCACCACTCCCTCGTAGAGGTTAGGCTAGCAAGTGATTCCCTGAACAAATTCAACACCTTCTCTGTCTCCCCTCGAGAGCAGATCGCCATCGAGGACTGCCGCGAGCTCCTCGACTTCTCGGTCGCGGAGCTCGCGTGGTCGCTGGGCGAGATGCGCGAGATCCGGGCCGGCCGCAGGCGGCTCGACTCTGAGGGGAACCTCAAAGCATGGCTCAGTGCCGCGCTCGGAAACCAAGACACGTGCCTCGAGGGGTTCGAAGGGACGGACAGGCACCTCCAGAGCTTCATCCGGGGGGGCCTGGCGCAGGTCACGCAGCTGATCAGCAACGTGCTGGCGTTGTACGTCGCCCAGCTGCGCGAGCTTCCCTTCGGACCCCCGAGAAACGCGACGGCCCCCCCGGAGGAGTTCCCGAGCTGGATGAGCGAGGGAGACAGGGAGATGGTGGGGGCGTCGTCGAAGCCCGGTGCCCGCGGGATGCATGTGGACGCGGTGGTGGCGTTGGACGGGAGCGGACACCACCGGTCCATCGGAGAGGCGGTGTCGGCGGCCCCGAGCAATAGCAAGAGGAGGTATGTGATATATGTGAAGAGAGGGGTTTATCATGAGAATGTTGATATGAAGAAGAAAAAGAGTAATATTATGCTTGTGGGAGATGGGATTGGAGCCACCGTTGTCTCCGGTAACAGAAACTTCATGCAGGGCTGGACCACATTTCGAACCGCCACTTTTGGTATGTAAGGTTTTTGTTTATTTGTCCCGTTTAATTATTCTTGAGTAAAATTGAAGAATTTTAAGTTTTAAATTACTTTCAATTTATATTGTACTCCAAACAAGATAATATAATAAATCAATTTTATACTAATATGCTTTGCAATTTTTGTTTAATTGAAGATCCAGATTTATATAGTCAAAGTATTTGCACAAGTGATCATGAGAAATCAAATTTTACGCTAATTTAGAAACATAAATATTTCACTAAAAAACCTAAAATATGTTTTTGCACATGCCTTTTTGATTTTTTTTAATTCATGATTTACCAATACTTCAAATGTGGTGTAAAAAGGAAATTACATGATATATTCTCTTTGTCATTAATTAAGTCTTACAGTTTTCCTTGTTTTTCTTTAAAAGTAACTTGCCATTAATTCAAAATATCCTTGTGCAAAGCATTACAAATAATCACGGGATGGACAAAGACCGACTCTAGATAATCAGACATAGAATCAGACGCTCTAGTCATAAAATGAGCCACCACAGTTTTCCTTGTTTGATGTATTAAATCAACTTTACATTTTTACTTTCTTTAAAAGTATAAACACCATATTATCTTTTCTCTCTTCCAAATAAATTTCAACGGTATCTTTTTTGATTTTTCATAAAATATTTTTTTATGTGAAATTTGTCAAATAAGATTGCGTCCATAAAACTTTCTCTAAAACTCAACAATTTTACATGCACCCATAATGCGTTGCATAATTTATGGGTTGGAAACAAACAAATACTCTTCCATCCCACAAAACATTGCCTATTTTGATGTATTTTTAGTCAAAGAGTTACACGCTTTGATCATAAATTAAATATAATCTAAGATAAATCTAATTATATTAAATTTATATTATAGTTTAATATATTTTTTCTCAAATTGTGTAATGTTTTAACCAAATACTATTCAAAATGAGTAATGTTTTGTGGGAGAGAGAAACTAAATAAAATAAAAACAAATTATAACGTTGAGCTAACTTTTAATGGTGCAGCCGTTTCCGGGAAAGGCTTCATCGCAAGGGACATGACGTTCCGGAACACCGCCGGCCCCCAGAACTTCCAGGCGGTGGCGCTGAGGGTGGATTCCGACCAGTCGGCGTTTTTCCGGTGCAGCATGGAGGGGTATCAGGACACCCTGTACGCCCACTCCCTCCGCCAGTTCTTCCGCGAGTGCTCCATCTCCGGCACCATCGACTTCATCTTCGGCAACGGCGCCGCCGTGCTCCAAAACTGCCGGATCTTCACCCGGAAGCCGCTCCCGCTCCAGAAGGTGACGATTACGGCCCAAGGCCGGAAAAGCCCAGATCAGAACACGGGCTTCTCGATCCAGGACAGTTACATTTACGCGTCCCAGCCCACTTATTTGGGCCGGCCCTGGAAGCAGTATTCGCGGGTCGTGTTTATGAATACTTTCATGAGCGGGCTGGTCCAGCCCAGAGGGTGGTTGGAGTGGTACGGAGACTTCGCTTTGAACACGTTGTGGTATGGGGAGTATAGGAACTATGGACCGGGTTCTTCCTTGTCCGGTCGGGTTCGCTGGCCCGGTTATCACATCATCAGGAATGCGCCCACTGCCGGTTATTTCACGGTTCAACGGTTTATCGACGGCATGTCGTGGTTGCCGGCCACCGGGATCCGGTTCTCCCCCGGTCTTACGAAGAATTGATTGGGGAAATAGACCAGTTTTTGGATCAGATCATGTGATCTAATGACTTGGAAGAAACTTATTGTAAAACAAGATAAGAGCGTAAATTAAAAAACTTATTATTTTTAAAAATTAGAATATTCTGTATTTTCGATAATTATTCTGTATTTTCGATAACTGCATGGCCCCTTTTTCATTGCATCTCTTCTTCTTCTTCTTCTTTCGGTCGAAAAGGATTGCGACTCAACTCACTCAATCGTCCCTTCTCTTTATCGGATTCTCAACAAGAGATTTTCTATGTATTGCTCAACAATAGTTCAACTAATCAATATTTAATAATTCCTTCGAAATCTCTTTCTTACTTTGAATTGGCACGGAGATTAAAAAAATTTAAAAATATAAAGATTTTCTATGTATTGCTCTTGATGTAATGAAATAAAGTAAATAGTATATATAAAAAATAAGGGTATATGACACATTTATTAAAAGTTTTTTGTTAAAATAAGAAACAAAAATTTTTTTTAGATGATCCAAAAAGAAAAGTGAGAAAGAAACTAATGCATGGAGAAAGTATGAAATAATAAATTTTACGATTAATTCAAAACAAAAGAATATTATGGATCAAATATTGAACTATGAATAGATGCTCACACACTTAACTTTAATACTAGTATGGTTATTCTTATTAGGTGGTACAGCCCTCTAAATATGAAGAAAAGAAAATAAAATAAAATAAAGAAAAAACTTTGACACTACTCAAGAAAGTAGTAGCATTGCTCTCTAGAAACAATCTTTAAAAAAAAATCTAAAAAATCGATCGGTACCATTGACACTAAGTTAACAGTACCGTGCCACTGTCATTGCTAACGGAACACGTTGCCGATCTAGAAATATGGAGTTAACATTTACAGAGAAAAATGTGGTGTCGTCAATATTTTAGCCAGTGGGCGGCGGCGGTTAGATCCTAAATCCAAGCATTCATCGGAATCGGCGCTTCTACAAGAGTCTCGTAATATGACGTCGGAGATGGGGACGGAGTTGGCGACGGAGTTGGAGCCGGGAAGGGAGAGGCACTAATTGCAGACGGAGGGGGGCGGCGGAAAACATAAGCCTCCTTGTCGTTTTTGCCCAGATCTTTGAAATCGTCGTCGTCCACGTCCGAGTACTTTACCGATTTATCTTTCTTCGGCGCCGAGTAAATGAGGCCGTGGTTATAAGGCACGCCGGACTCTCGAATCCAGCTGTTCCCGGAGATGAATTTCCCGGCGGTGAACCGCTTGATCTGCTTCTTCGGCAGCTCCTTGATTCCGACCCAATCGACCCGGTTCTCCTTCGAAGATCCGGGTCCTCTGTTGTTGAACTCCGTGTAGAATAGGGTTTCCAGCCCGAAATCCTCGCTCCACGGCAACCACCCCTCCGGCTGAATGAAATCGGGGATGTACGATTCCATGATGACGGTTCTCGAGAACTCCTTCCACGGCCGGCCGAGGTACGATTTGAGGGTGAACCGGTGAGGGAAGTAAGCCGGGTCCGCCACGATGGTGCAATTCTGCAGGACGAGCCCGGTCGGCTGGTGCGGGTCCTTCCGGCCCTGAGCCGTCACGATGTTCTGCTGATTTTCCAGTGGTTTCCGGACGACGATGGTGCAGTTCTGGAGCACGGCGGCGCTGTCGCCGAAGATGAAATCGATGGTGCCGGAGATCTCGCAGTTTCGGTAGAACTGGCGGTACGTGTGGGCGTAGAGTGTGTCCTGGTACCCGTCCATCTTGCAGTTGTAGAAGATTGACTTGTCGGCGCCGACCCTCAGAGCCACCGCCTGATGCTTTTCCGGCCCCGCCGAGTTCTCGAATCCGATGTCCCTCGCCATGAAATAATCTCCCAGAACAGCTGCATTATATTGGATGCAAACAAATGTTATGAATTATTACTACTCCGGTAATAAACCAAATGTTACACAATAAATTAATGAATGAAGTATTCCTAGTACTCACCAACGGTAGCGGTGTGAAAGGTGGAAATCCCGTCGATGAAATTCAGCCATCCGGTGATTCTTGTCTTGTTCGAACCGTCGCCTATCATGGTGAGATGGGTGATGTTACGGTAAACGGTGACTTGCTCTTCGTAAACGCCCTCTTTGATGTAGAGAACGAATGTTTCGTCGCTTTTTGTTGGTATATTTTTCAAGGCGTCGTTTATGCTCGTGTAATTCCCGGATCCGTCCTTGGCGACAATGAGGTTTGGTTTCACCTCGCTTAGATTGGCCCCGAGAAGCCCGCGCCTTCCGGGGGTCACCCATTCTGGGAATTTTTCCTTGTTACTTGAGAGAAGACGGCGTCTGCTCATTTCATTGGTGAGAGACTCGGCTTCATCCTCGGTGATAAGCGAGGAGATTTCCGTGACCATAGCAAGGGCATTGCTGGTCATTTGCATGGATTTCGTTAGAAGCTCCCTCATTCGTTTCTCTTCGTTTCCTGGGATTTCTTGAAATCCGCTCAAGCATGTTTCTTGATACGTGAGAGATCCGCTGAGCCAAGTCTTCAAGTCGTCCAACCAATTATCCAAATTCAGCAAGTCGAAGTCCTTAAACTTTGCAAGAGTCCTTCTAAGATCTTCTATAGCCTGGTTGGCCAGGTCTTCACAATTCTCCAACGCCGCTTTTGATCTTGGATCATCCTTGAGATTCATAAAAAGGCTTGAGTTCTTAATCGAATCACGAATGTCTTTGATCGTGACATTGAATGCTACTTGAATAAGGTCTCTAGGATCAGTAGATTGTGTCGCATTTGAAGCAGATAGGCTTTTGACACATGTTTCCTTATACGTAGTCGGTTGGCACACGGCTTGAATGGCTTTACGAGAGGCGGTGATACCATCTTGACCCGAATTCTCTGGTTCAGAATCTTGGCTTCCGATGGTAAGAGCGACAACCATTGCAACCAAGATCAACGAGCACACGCCAAGGACGGCCATGTTCTTGCCCTTCTTATTCTCTTCCATTTTGGAAACTTTTGGCAACGTGTTTCCTCTTTCAATGCTCAATGGAGAAGGTCAGAATTGAAATGATCGACCCTCTCCTCCGAGTGCCTTAATAAACAATTAGAGGTCAAGAAGTTTTATAGCATTTGGTTTAGATTAACCAATTGTTGTAAAAAAAAAAATATTAGATTGGAGAGAAATGAAAGAAAATTTGGATTTAAATGTTGCAAACTCCCACATATTTAATGGATCCCACAGGTGTAGGAGACGTATGGTCTTTATGCTTTTTAATTTGTTCACCAATCAAATTTGGAACATAAGTAAAACAAAAAAAGGCATTTTTTCAGAACAATCATAATATGACTAGTAATTAAATTAATAACCGCACACTTATATTAAAATCTTCAATTGTAAAAACGGAGTAGCTTGTTTTCAGGAACAAGCTGAAGATCAAATTGAAAGAAGAAACCTGCGTCGGACAGCGAAAAATCTTTTGCAAAATCGGAACGACATGATACTACAGAAGATAAGTCGATATAATAAGAACAAAACTAAGCCTTGTAACCGCGGCTGTTTCTTCTTCCCCTGGCCTTCTCAAACTTCCTTCCCTTGGAGCGCACGTACGGCTTGGTGTGACTATGCGGAACACCCGGAGCGGGACCAAAGTGTTTCACCGCTTCCCGTGCATTCTTAGGACCTCTAAGCAGAATCTGCAAAAAGACCATGACGATTTTGCCAAATATCAGATCAAACAATTCCACTAGCTATTCCTTTCCCAAAAAAAGCTAGTGTAACACCAAGATGTTAACACCATGGATGACATCGACTGAATTTGTAAACACACGGATGATGACAATAGTCTGTTGTCGTCCGTGAAATTACATAGTTCAGACAATTATGGCCTGTGTATGTACAAATTAACACAAACAGTTGTCAACTGTGGTGTGAACCATGGTGGGTTTCTAGCATGACTCATTCCTCACTTTTAAGGGCTTAAATTCAGTCTCCATAAGTTTAGGTTAAGACAAAAATTGATAAGGGTATTCAATTAATCAAGAGAGGCATTCCCCCTCGCACATCTAATCACCTCATCATCCATGCCATAGACAAGAATAAAAGACCCACCGAAGTCTCAATTTGATATAGTACACTTCCCACCCGTCCTCAGATCAATAACCAATTACCATATTGTGAGTATGAAAAAAATACAATAAGAACAATAAAGATTTGAATTTTATGGAACTCAATGTATCCCACTTAACAGTTGCCATTATGAATACAATTCTTGGCCCTTGATCCCACAGGGATGAAAAGATCAAAAACATCCACCATGACAGAATCCCACATATACCACAACCACAAGTACAAAGATATGGACCTTCATACACTGCAGAATACAGTATAATGAATTTGATATAGCGTAGCTATGACTCAAAACGCTTCCATTGAACAACCGGAAGGCGATCCTAAGGGCTACGCAAAAATCAGATCAAATAATTCCAATAGTTGTTACTTTCACAATAACAGCTTAATACAACAACCCACTATCAGAAAACATTTGAAATCCCAATAACTGAAAAAGCTATTCAATAAATCAATAAATGGACTTAAATAAAACAGCTGGGAAATTCGGCTGGCAGTCAGAATATCAATAAGCCTCATGAAGTGAGCTCATAGTGGCACTCACCACTCGCACATCTAATCACCTCATCATCTATGCCAGTAGTTAGAACAAGCCATTTTTCAAAAAGTCCCAGTAAACCTCTTAATTTGATAAAATACACTTGCCAGCCCCAGAGAAGTAATACATATGTATGAAAAAACAAGTTATTTATATTCCACAAACTGTATGTAACCCACTTTCAATGGTCATTACAAATGCACTTCAGTTTCTAGAATACCAATTGGGGGAACAGATAATAAAGAAGCAAAATGACTCAGTACTAGAAAGTGAGAGAGAAGAGACTCAAAAGGATATTCCTAGAGAGAATGCCATATTTACCACAACCACAAGTGCAAAGATCTGGACCTTTAGAAAATGTGAGAAAGTATATAATGATTTTTATTGCGTAGCTATGACTCGAAACACTTCCATTGAACAAGTGGAAGGCAATCCTATGGGCTACGCAAAGTGCTAACATAATACTGCAAACAAAACTTAAGAAAAAGAAACACTTCCAGTAAAACTGAAGTATATCCGATTTAAGCGTACTAGTCAATCTAGATAGTCAACCACCAAAAGGTGGGTTACCAATGGTAAATTGCTTGAAGTTATGTATTTCTGCCATTGCAGCAAAGCATCAGGCTTTGAACAGAATCCTAAGACACGTAAGAGAAAACAATGCAATTCACAATTTTAACATATTTCATCTATTTTCATTTTAATGCCACATTTCATCTCAAGACACTATCAATAGTTTGCACTATAGGACTCATATACTACAGAACAGCAGAATACAAATACGTTATAGGTGCTAAGCAAATGTTGGCTGATTAAATACCGTGTTCTGTCCCAATGGAGCTCTAAGAGCCAGCTGGTCAAATGTCAGGCATTCACCTCCGGCTTTCTCAATCCTTGCCCTGGCAGTTTGGGTGAACCTCAGGGCACAAACTTTCATTGCTGGGACTTCATAAACCCTAACATCATCAGTAATAGTGCCCACCAACACAGCAATCTTATCCTCCTATACAAGATCATCAAAAGAGCTGGTCAAAATCAAGATACCGGACCAGATAACAGCAGACACAAGAGAAAGCTATGGCATAAGTGACTATATCAATACAAAAACCCAATAAAGCCATTAGCACATTTTAATCATACACCTTTCCGGACATGAAAGCGATCAGCCTGGAGAGTGAGAGCGGAGGCCTGTTCGTCTTGCTCATGAACAGGCGTTTCAGAACCACAGCATTGAACTTGCTTCCGGTCCTTCGTACCAAAAACCGGTAGAGCTGAAGCAGATCCAACAATCATTCCATGATTCAAAAATTCAGAATGAACAAAATGTACATTGTAGACATAAAAATGAATGCTAAAAACAAAATTCTGATTAAAAAAACCTTCACGAGAAGCTTCAAGTAAACATCCTCGGATTTCGGCGCTGTGCGCTTCGTCTGCTTGCTCTTACCTCCTGCTTTCAGATCAATACCCTACAGGAACGAAAATGGAAGCGACATTGATAAAGAAACGTTATATTATGGGTATACATACAGCGTATAGAGTTAGCTAAGGAAAAATTACCATGGCTGAGCTCGAAGAAGTTCCTTAGCCGCAGGGAGAGGGATGAAGGAATGTGTGCGGCTGTCTGTTATATGTTGAGACTTGAGAGACAGAGAGAGATTAGGGTTTATTGTGAAGGTGAGTGGTAGACCTGGTTCGGATCTCAATGGGTTCGGTACAGATTTATATCTATTAGGTTCGGGTTTATTTAGGATACGTATTAGTCCTCGTAATTATTTCGGAGTGTATCACGTTAAATTCTACTCCCTCCGTCCCAAAAAGTCTTTCCTGTTTCATTTTTTGCGCATCCCATAAAACACTTCTACCGACATTTAAAATGCCTAAAATTTACAACATTTCTTCTTTATTGTGGGTAGAAGTTATTTTGAAAGTTATTTTTGCATTCAAGACGGGATATAAGTGTTTTATGGGATGCGCAAAAAATGAAGCAGGAAAGACTTTTTGGGACGGAGGGAGTATTCGTATTCAATTTTTGATTTAATTTGATTCCCTAATTTTATATCTATTCAGTTCGGATTTATTTCGGATACGTATTGCTTCGCATAGTTATTTTGGATTGTATCTGTTCAATTCTATTCAATTTTGATTTAATTTGATTCCCTAATTTTATACTGTATCTATTTTGTTCGGGTTTATTTCGAATACGTATTTCTCTGCATGATTATTTTGGATTGTATCGGTTCAATTCTATTTGATTTCGAATTGTCTGTTTGGATTTTCAAATCTAATGTTTGGTATGTTTTTTATATTTCAATTTATTATAAATTTTTATATATAGTTAGTCAAACATTTGACACGCAAAACAAAACAAACCATTAAAATAGATGAAAGGGGTATATCGATTTGATTAGATATCAGTTCGGGTCCAGAAGGGTTATGGTTTAAAATAATTGAAATAAAATCATTCTAGATATAAAATGACTCAAATAGATATTCACATTATTTTTTAATTAATGTGCTACACTTTCTAAGAAAGTAAATCTTAAAGTACTTTTTTGTCCTCATTAAATGTTTACCATTACTGAGTATTTTTGAATTGATGTGTTAAATAAATTTTCAAGAAATTAAATATTACTTCTGATTTTTTTTGTCAGGTCTCTCAATATCTTTGTGTTGCGGCAATATCATGGGATCAATTCGACCAAACTCTAGAGAGCAATAAATGTTGTTGATTTTAGTGTTACCAAGTGAAAACCTTTTTATAGGATGAAGGGTAACAATACATCAATTGATCAAAGTTTGCAGAAATAAGAAATCAGTGATGAATCTCACGCGACACGTCATATAAAAAGTCTACTCAGAGCGGTCACCCGAAACTAGTGAGGACACGTCTAACAAAGATATGCGTACTACGCATTAATGAAGGGAAGACGAAGGTCACGCTCATACCAACGACATAAATAGTTGTCAGTGCACGCGGATCAGTTAGCAACTGCCATGTCACCCACCTTGCTACGAAGGGAAGAGGAAGATCACCTAAGACAGGTAGATACTTGTTTGTGACCTGTGAGATTTAAACGTCTTAAAAGAGGCATTACACAGAAATTTAAGTTGGTTTTTCAAACACCAGAATTGTAAAAGGAGCTCAGATAAGCAAAAAAAGCAAAGACTTCAATTTTTATAAAACACTCCCATTGAGTCTAAGAATGATTATCAAATACATCAGTGTAATTAATATTAGCATTCTAGATTTATCATTACTGCTCAAAAGGACTGCAAATTCAAGCTATGGTATGCATAGTTATTATAGTTTAAGCGCATCAAAACCCGTTTAAAACGAACAACAATGGTCATTGAAGGGTGAAAGCGCCACTCCACGGATCGGTCTTTGGTCAGGAGTCCATTGAATTGATTCTGATCTGATCACACTCAATCCAGACGCTCCATCTACGGTCAAGAAACAAAAGAGTTAAACTACGTGTGATTAAAAAGAAGGATCCTTTTGGATCTGCAAAAGGAATGGAATTGAAGGACTTGAAAACGGAATCACCTTCCAAAGGCCATCATTAAGATAGTGCATGTTGTCAACGCCGATTCCTTTGTTGATCGATTTTCTGCAGAAACAAGAGAGCCAATTTTGAATTTCAAAACACTATGAAGAAAAGACAAATTATTTAGTTAAAACTGCGAGTCCTTGTTAGAATCCGATCCAAACCAAACAAACCCCACTATATCTCACTCAAGACTCAAGAATAGGGTCTAAGAAAGTACCTATATCATACATCTGGATGTACAGTATTTCTCATACATCTGCATAAATACTCATTTTTTAGTAACAGAATACTCATTTTCAAGTAACTAAATACTCATTTTCCAATATAATTGAATTTTAGAAAAATGAGTATTCAATTACTCAAAAATGAGTTTTCAGTGTTTCGAAAATGAGTATTCAGTTACACATAAATGAGTACTCGCCGTGGATGTATCATGTACGGGAAACACCGTACAACCGGTTGTATGGTATTACTCCATAACTATAACAATCAAATAAGTAAAATTTAATGGGTACATCAGTAAATTTAATCTTACATATCCTTTGCTGACATTTTTGTAAAACCAATAGCAAGGGCATGTTGCTTCCCTTCTGCCATTATTGCCTGAAGAATGCAAGTAAATACATTACAATTAAACTCCACAAATATGGGGGGAGTATATAAATGGAGTTTTTTTTGGGGCGAAATTTTTTTTAAAAGTAGGACTCTTTTTATTGAATGGAAGAAATTCAAGAAGTGGAAAAAGCAACAGAATATTTCAGTGGTGTATGATAAATGAAAAAACAATTATATCTAAAATTGTGTTTCATCATTCTTACAACAGGAGTCTCGGCCTCAACTTCTTCATCCAAGACACCTCCGGGAGATGTAAGGCCCGGACACATTATGTTGGCACCAGACAAGACAAACTTAATAGCCCCTCTGTCAACTTGCAGTTTCTTCATTATATTTGGATCTGCATAGAGAAATAAGGAAGAAAGAAGGCTATAATAAAATGCTGACACTATAAGCAACTACTTGAAAAAAAATACAATAACAAAATTGACTAAACCAATGTTCATGTTCATGTTTTGCATTTTGTTTTATAATATCAGACGTGGTGCGTGACTAAAGCAACTATCTCAACTCAATGTTGTCTCGTGAAAATTTTCCATGTCAGTGGAAAAATTGTAAGATGATGGTTTTGGACTTTATCTTAGTATTGGTTTGTACTCAGTAGGAAAGTTGTGTCAGAAAAGGGAACCCTACATGAGTCCAGCGTAAGTTAATTGTAGACAATAAATTGAGACTAAACTCACTTAAGTTTCATGCCACCAACCACAACACAGTTCATAACTTGACAAACCTAAGTCCTTCCTGCAAACATTTTTATGTTAGAGACTTCTGAATGTTTGTTTACTCTATCTCAATGTTTGGATTTGGTAAAAGTGAAGTGAAAGGTAGTAAAAGTGTTAGTATGCCTTGAATCTGTATTGTTCGCCGCCACGCAAACGGGTTCTAAAACCTCTGTAATTTGGAACCACCATCATAATACAATCCGATCTCAGTTCTTGCCTGTGGATGTTGCCAACTTAGCATTGATGAACAACGTTAAATCTGTGTCACTTTACGTTTTTGTTTGTTTTCAATTACTAAATTACTCTATTCCGTTTTAACAATAAGTGTATGATGTTGAGGGTAAAAGTGTATTTACATTAAAGAAGTCAACGGTGCATGCCAAACAAAAAAAGAAATGAGAAATTGATTTTGGATAACTGTTGAGTCACAAAATATCATACTCCGTATTTTATTCCCTCATTTTTTAGGTCATGTTCTATTCACTTGATCTAAATGGTTTTGAACTTGTGATCTAATTGGAATACGTTATGATCTAATCTGGTCTGATCTGAATGTAGTTATATTTTGTCATATATGGCATTTTAGGCTATTGTTTGCATTTCATACATAAAATGCATGATTTTGACCAAATTTAAGCGTTATAAATATTTTTGGAATATTATTTTCAATGACATATCATTTCTAGATATACATTGAAGCCCAAAAGGTTGAAGAAGATAATGAATTTGAATTTTTTGGAGCTTGAAAAGTTGGCCTAGGTCCAAGCTTGACCCAAACCAAATCCACTTGCCAAATAAATAATGAGAAAGAAGAGCAAACAAAAGTGGGAAAAAACGAGAGAAATGCAGCAAAGAACACGAAGTCTTATCTCCAATCCAAGCGCATTGCAAAGAAGTTTAATCCAATTGAAAGGCAATCTCTTCATTATTTCAATTACAAATGGAACACTCAGGATAGAAGAAGGGCATCTTCTTCAACACAAATACAATGGGGAATCGAGAACAGAGAAGAGCCAACCTTGGGTTTTAACCCTAGGTTAGGCGACAGAAATTGCACGGCATGGATGGAGGACAGCTCTGGCCCTTTGTGCATTGTTCGAACAAAGAAGAGAACTCAAGGAGCAATTTTTCCCTTTTCAATATTAAATATGTTTATTTTCAATCCCAATTCTTGTGTATTAAATGTTTAAGTTATATTATAAGTGTTGAATTGTTTGATTGTTGATGTTGAATCTGTCAAGATTTAATTTGTTAATTTAATTATTGTCTCTGAAAATATAATACCGCCTTAGGCCGAATTGAATGACAAAAAAGATTGAATCTTTGGTTTGGTTGTTCTTGTTGAATTAATTTGACTTTGAAGGAATTTTAGCTTTACGCTACTGTTAAAACTAAACTCGAAAAGGTGTACCGAGAACTATTATTCACCATATATTACTTAAATTCTACCAAATTAGGATCGCAACCTAATCCAATTTAAAATGATATCTTTTAAACTCCAAGGATCGCAACCTAATCCAATCTAAAATGATATCTTTTAAACTCCAAAGTGCTTTCAATAGCCAAACTTTTCTAGAAACCAAGTCATTTGATTAGTAGTTGGCTGCCTCGTTAAGTGGTTTTTGCTAATCAAGGTTCTCGAACTGATTTTGTTAAATAACCGTAGTGTTACTACAAAGTTGTTATGGTGATATTTTCCACAAATCTTAATGCGTTGTTCTTAGTAGTAACTTAAGGGTTGGTCTTTGGGTTGCTAGGGGTAGTAGGGTTTAGAGTTAGGGTTGGTCTTAACATGAGCTAATATGAATGGGAGAATAGGGAAGAACT